TCCACATGGCATATAGAAATCCTACGTGGCCACTAGCACTATTCAAAATTTCAGTGTAATCTCTTAAGATAGGAAGAATCGTTCTTTATCTTTTCCATGTTCATCCATTTCTAAATTTCCCCAATTCATTCCCAAATCAGCTTCTCATCGATTGAATCCAAAATCAAGAAACAATATCTCCTCCCCAAGTTTGTTGTGAAAATGAAATAATCCTTTTGCTTACTGGAATTCATCTGTTAAAAAATGACAGCTATGTAACAGAAGGATGCCCTCAAAGAAAGCCGACATTAGCGAAATCTTATGAATTCGAAGAAGCCAGTAGGAAAGCTTCAATTGTAGGAGTAAGAAAATCCAAGGAAAGCAAGTTATTTGATAAGAAAATTTGAGATACAGGATGCAGGGTCACAAACATTGAGCGTCTTGATGTCGCCAAACTTGCTGAGCTCTTCAAATATATCCTCATAAAAATCCTCAAAATGCTCTTGGATCTTCAAATATATCCTTCTTCTTGAAAAGCTCTCTCAGACTCCAAAGCTCGTGCATGAAGCTTCAGATCACCTTACTCCTATAAACAAATCATGATAAAAATCATTTTAAATTCCTGACTTGCAAATCTTGGAAATTATTAACAAGTATCAAAACTAACACATTACTTAACATTCACTCAATGATTTCAGCAAGCTTTTCAACTTTGTTAGCCTTCCTGAAGTCATATTATAAAATGCATCCTGAAGTTCACACAAATGGGAGTGATTATATATTAATGATTAGGACATGATAAATGCATAACTTAATGGAAAGTGTCTTCAACATCATTACTAAGCAGCCAAAAAATCTATAAAAAAGAATAAAGAATCTCATTCGTCCAAGGCATTTTACAACTTCTGGATTAAGAACCCTCTGTCAGTGGTGCAAGCACAAAACATTGGTTCTATTTTCTAAAAAAGAATTGAGTACAAAGATGATAGAATCTGTGTCCTTTTTGTACTAAGTCCTAACAACACCCAAATGCATTGACATTTCTAGTAATTGAACTTTGGACTATTAACCAGAGCAGGAAATGTGCAAAAACCGAGAAATGAACATAGACAACCAACAACTCTATATCAAAATAGAGTAAAAATACGATCTGCTTCACCAAGCCAAGCTTATCACCATTAATAAAAACAAATTTCAATAAAATAGCCCTATTCAGCCCACTTCATCTGAGAAATGTTC